GGCAGGACAGGCTGGTCTCTATCCTTTATAACATTATGTTTCTGTGGCAGGACAAGCTGTTCTCTGTCCTATTTAACATTATGTTTCTGTGGCAGGACAAGCTGGCCTCTGTCCTATATAACATTGTGTTTCTGTGGCAGGACAAGCTGGCCTCTGCCCTATATAACATTATATTACTGTGGCAGGACAAGCTGGCCTCTGTCCTATATAACATTGTGTTTCTGTGGCAGGACAAGCTGGCCTCTGCCCTATATAACATTGTGTTTCTGTGGCAGGACAATCTATTCTCTGTCCTATATAACATTATGTTTCTGTGGCAGGACAAGCTGGCCTCTGTCCCATATAACATTGTGTTTCTGTGGCAGGACAAGCTGTTCTCTGTCCTATATAACATTGTGTTTCTGTGGCAGGACAATCTGGCCTCTGTCCTATATAACATTGTGTTTCTGTGGCAGGACAAGCTGGCCTCTGTCCTATATAACATTGTGTTTCTGTGGCAGGACAAGCTGGCCTCTGTCCTATATAACATTGTGTTTCTGTGGCACCACAATCTGTTCTCTGTCCTATATAACATTATGTTTCTGTGGCAGGACAAGCTGTTCTCTGTCCTTTATAACATTGTGTTTCTGTGGCACGACAATCTGTTCTCTGTCCTATATAACATTATGTTTCTGTGGCAGGACAAGCTGTTCTCTGTCCTATATAACATTGTGTTTCTGTGGCAGGACAAGCTGTTCTCTGTCCTATATAACATTGTGTTTCTGTGGCAGGACAAGCTGGCCTCTGTCCTACATAACATTGTGTTTCTGTGGCAGGACAAGCTGTTCTCTGTCCTATATAACATTGTGTTTCTGTGGCAGGACAAGCTGTCCTTTGTCCTATATAACATTGTGTTACTGTGGCAGGACAACCTGTTCTCTGTCCTATATAACATTGTGTTTCTGTGGCAGGACAAGCTAGTCTCTGTCCTATATAACATTATGTTTCTGTGGCAGGACAAGCTGTTCTCTGTCCTATATAACATTGTGTTTCTGTGGCAGGACAAGCTGGCATCTGTCCTATATAACATTGTGTTTCTGTGGAAGGACAGGCTGTTCTCTGTCCTATATAACATTGTGTTACTGTTGCAGGACAAGCTGGTCTCTATCCTTTATAACATTATGTTTCTGTGGCAGGACAATCTGTTCTCTGTCCTATATAACATTGTGTTTCTGTGGCAGGACAAGCTGGCCTCTGTCCTATATAACATTGTGTTTCTGTGGAAGGACACGCTGTTCTCTGTCCTATATAACATTGTGTTACTGTTGCAGGACAAGCTGGTCTCTATCCTTTATAACATTATGTTTCTGTGGCAGGACAATCTGTTCTCTGTCCTACATAACATTGTGTTTCTGTTGCAGGACAAGCTGTTCTCTGTACTATATAACATTGTGTTACTGTGGCAGGACAAGCTGGCCTCTGTCCTACATAACATTGTGTTACTGTGGCAGGACAAGCTGGCCTCTGCCCTATATAACATTGTGTTTCTGTGGCAGGACAATCTGTTCTCCGTCTTATATAACATTATATTTCTGTAACAGGACAAGCTGGCCCCTGTCCTATATAACATTATGTTTATGTGGCAGGACAAGCTGGCCTCTGCCCTATATAACATTGTGTTACTGTGGCAGGACAAGCTGTTCTCTGTCCTACATAACATTGTGTTTCTGTGGCAGGACAAGCTGTTCTCTGTCCTATATAACATTATGTTTCTGTAACAGGACAAGCTGTTCTCTGTCCTATATAACATTATGTTTCTGTGGCAGGACAAGCTGGCCTCTGTCCTATATAACATGGTGTTTCTGTGGAAGGACAAGATGTTCTCTGTCCTACATAACATTGTGTTTCTGTGGCAGGACAGGCTGGTCTCTATCCTTTATAACATTATGTTTCTGTGGCAGGACAAGCTGTTCTCTGTCCTATATAACATTGTGTTACTGTGGCAGGACAGGCTGGTCTCTATCCTTTATAACATTATGTTTCTGTGGCAGGACAAGCTGTTCTCTGTCCTATATAACATTATGTTTCTGTGGCAGGACAAGCTGTTCTCTGTCCTATATAACATTGTCTTTCTGTGGCAGGACAAGCTGTTCTCTGTCCTATATAACATTGTGTTTCTGTGGCAGGACAAGCTGGCCTCTGTCCTATATAACATTGTGTTTCTGTGGCAGGACAAGCTGGCCTCTGTCCTATATAACATTGTGTTTCTGTGGCAGGACAAGCTGGCCTCTGTCCTATATAACATTATGTTTCTGTGGCAGGACAAGCTGTTCTCTGTCCTATATAACATTGTGTTTCTGTGGCAGGACAAGCTGTCCTTTGTCCTATATAACATTGTGTTACTGTGGCAGGACAACCTGTTCTCTGTGCTATATAACATTGTGTTTCTGTGGCAGGACAAGCTAGTCTCTGTCCTATATAACATTATGTTTCTGTGGCAGGACAAGCTGTTCTCTGTCCTATATAACATTGTGTTACTGTGGCAGGACAAGCTGGCCTCTGTCCTATATAACATTGTTTTTCTGTGGCAGGACAAGCTGTTCTCTGTCCTATATAACATTATGTTTCTGTGGCAGGACAAGCTGGCCTCTGTCCTATATAACATGGTGTTTCTGTGGCAGGACAAGCTGGCCTCTGTCCTATATAACATTGTGTTTCTGTGGAAGGACAAGATGTTCTCTGTCCTACATAACATTGTGTTTCTGTGGCAGGACAAGCTGGCCTCTGTCCTATATAACATTGTGTTTCTGTGGCAGGACAAGCTGTTCTCTGTCCTATATAACATTGTGTTACTGTGGCAGGACAAGCTGTTCTCTGTCCTATATAACATTATGTTTCTGTGGCAGGACAAGCTGGCCTCTGTCCTATATAACATTGTGTTTCTGTGGAAGGACAAGATGTTCTCTGTCCTACATAACATTGTGTTTCTGTGGCAGGACAGGCTGGTCTCTATCCTTTATAACATTATGTTTCTGTGGCAGGACAAGCTGTTCTCTGTCCTATTTAACATTATGTTTCTGTGGCAGGACAAGCTGGCCTCTGTCCTATATAACATTGTGTTTCTGTGGCAGGACAAGCTGGCCTCTGCCCTATATAACATTATATTACTGTGGCAGGACAAGCTGGCCTCTGTCCTATATAACATTGTGTTTCTGTGGCAGGACAAGCTGGCCTCTGCCCTATATAACATTGTGTTTCTGTGGCAGGACAATCTGTTCTCTGTCCTATATAACATTATGTTTCTGTGGCAGGACAAGCTGTTCTCTGTCCTATATAACATTGTGTTTCTGTGGCAGGACAAGCTGTTCTCTGTCCTATATAACATTGTGTTTCTGTGGCAGGACAAGCTGGCCTCTGTCCTATATAACATTGTGTTTCTGTGGCAGGACAAGCTGGCCTCTGTCCTATATAACATTGTGTTTCTGTGGCACGACAATCTGTTCTCTGTCCTATATAACATTATGTTTCTGTGGCAGGACAAGCTGTTCTCTGTCCTATATAACATTGTGTTTCTGTGGCACGACAATCTGTTCTCTGTCCTATATAACATTATGTTTCTGTGGCAGGACAAGCTGTTCTCTGTCCTATATAACATTGTGTTTCTTTGGCAGGACAAGCTGTTCTCTGTCCTATATAACATTGTGTTTATGTGGCAGGACAAGCTGGCCTCTGTCCTATATAACATTGTGTTTCTGTGGCAGGACAAGCTGTTCTCTGTCCTATATAACATTGTGTTTCTGTGGCAGGACAAGCTGTCCTTTGTCCTATATAACATTGTGTTACTGTGGCAGGACAACCTGTTCTCTGTCCTATATAACATTGTGTTTCTGTGGCAGGACAAGCTAGTCTCTGTCCTATATAACATTATGTTTCTGTGGCAGGACAAGCTGTTCTCTGTCCTATATAACATTGTGTTACTGTGGCAGGACAAGCTGTTCTCTGTCCTATATAACATTGTGTTTCTGTGGCAGGACAAGCTGTTCTCTGTCCTATATAACATTGTGTTTCTGTGGCAGGACAAGCTGTTCTCTGTCCTATATAACATTGTGTTTCTGTTGCAGGACAAGCTGGCCTCTGTCCTATATAACATTGTGTTACTGTGGCAGGACAAGCTGTTCTCTGTCCTATATAACATTGTGTTACTGTGGCAGGACAAGCTGTTCTCTGTCCTATATAACATTGTGTTACTGTGGCAGGACAAGCTGGCCTCTGTCCTATATAACATTATGTTTCTGTGGCAGGACAAGCTGGCCTCTGTCCTATATAACATTATGTTTCTGTGGCAGGACAAGCTGGCCTCTGTCCTATATAACATTATGTTTCTGTGGCAGGACAAGCTGTTCTCTGTCCTATATAACATTGTGTTACTGTGGCAGGACAAGCTGGCCTCTGTCCTATATAACATTGTGTTTCTGTGGCAGGACAAGCTGGCCTCTGTCCTATATAACATTGTGTTTCTGTGGCAGGACAAGCTGTTCTCTGTCCTATATAACATTGTGTTACTGTGGCAGGACAAGCTGGTCTTTGTCCTATATAACATTATGTTTCTGTGGCAGGACAAGCTGACCTCTGTCCTATATAACATTATGTTTCTGTGGCAGGACAAGCTGGCCTCTGTCCTATATAACATTGTGTTACTGTGGCAGGACAAGCTGTTCTCTGTCCTATATAACATTGTGTTTCTGTGGCAGGACAAGCTGGCCTCTGTCCTATATAACATTATGTTTCTGTGGCAGGACAAGCTGGCCTCTGGCCTATATAACATTGTGTTACTGTGGCAGGACAAGCTGTTCTCTGTCCTATATAACATTGTGTTTCTGTGGCAGGACAAGCTGGCCTCTGTCCTATATAACATTGTGTTTCTGTGGCAGGACAAGCTGGCCTCTGCCCTATATAACATTGTGTTTCTGTGGCAGGACAAGCTGTTCTCTGTCCTATATAACATTGTGTTTCTGTGGCAGGACAAGCTGGCCTCTGCAGTGGTGGCTGAGTTGCTGCTGACAAGACTCGCTGGCCAGGAGAGCAACACAGACAGAGCATTCAAACTCAGGGAGAATGCAAAGTAAGTGCTCTGAAACATGTTCAGGATGAACGCTGGAGAGATTTTACCCAGCCTGCACTATTGTTCAGGTCAGAATAGGTTCCCATAAGGATGGGGGATGAGGTGATACAGTTGTTAAACATGTTAAACTCTAGGAACATCCTATACTGAAATGATATTTGCAAACTTTCATCTCGCAGAGGAAAGAGTTCACTTCCCATGAAGAAACATTTCCTGCCGTACACAATCACAGGGGATGTTTTCATAATTTAAAAAACAAAAGAAACGTCATGATGTGTAAGTCATGTATTTTGTCTCATCATATCAAACATTGAAACATTTGACACATCAAACATTGAAGAATACGAAAGGAATCAGATAGAATCTTCTTCAGCCTCATACAAAAGACATTTTGACCAATATATTATAGTTTCACCAAAAATCTACATTTCATCTCGTAGTTCTAAGCATGTTTGACAAAGGAATCTGTACAGTTATTATGAAATATCTTTTCTATTTTGTGAATATTTACAAGGGAATTTGGCGATCTGGCAGAGGAGGTTCTATGGGTTTGCTATGAGCTGGACGAAGGATTGACTCAAAAGCTACTGACCCAGAAGTCGACCTGGTGGGGAGACAAGTCTGTCATTGAACTTGTGTACAGCTTCCGGAGTCGAAGCTTCGTCAGCAAACCTGCGTGCAAGTCGCTGTTGGATAAAGTGTGGAAGGGGAACCTGCAGTCCGACAGGTTCCTGCTGGTGGTAGGTTTCTGCATATATTCACCTCCCTTCATATCCCCTGTTGGTACATGATACATATATTCACTTCCCTTCATATCCCCTGTTGGTACATGATACATACATTCACCTCCCTTCATATCCCCTGTTGGTACATGATACATATATTCACTTCCCTTCATATCCCCTGTTGGTACATGATACATACATTCACCTCCCTCCCTATCCCATGTTGGTACATGATACATACATTCACTTTCCTCCCTATCCCATGTTGGTACATGATACATACATTCACTTTCCTCCCTATCCCATGTTGGTACATGATACATATATTCGCTTTCCACCATATCCCATGTTGGTACATGATACATACATTCACTTTCCTCCCTATCCCATTTTGGTACATGATACATACATTCGCTTTCCTCCCTATCCCATGTTGGTACATGATACATACATTCACTTCTGTTGGTACAGTCAAACACCATTGGGTCAAACTTTCAGCTGTCCCGAAGTAGAAGCTTTGTCCCTGCATATTCCTACTTAATTCATCATTAGTTAACCTCTGATGTGACGAATTGGACATGTCGAAGTTACGGTTGTCTCAAACATGTACTTCCAACACGAATTTACTCAGTCTCGACAATCTCGGCACAACTCATTGTCATCATGGTTCAATAATAAGGCTTGACAAACCGGAAATCTCAACACCAAGCACAGAAGTGAATGGGAGTGAGTGAGTGAATATGGTTTTAAGCCGCTTTTTGGCAATATTCCAGGAATATCACGGCGGGGGACACCAGAAATGGGCTTCACACACTGTATCAATGTCGGGAATCAAACCCGGGTCTTCAGCGTGACGAGCGAACGCTTTAAACACTGGGCTACCCGACCGCCCCAGAAGTGAATGGAGTCATGTGATTGTCACATGTTTATCTTGTGATTACAAATTGTGGAATGGATCAAGGAATAGGATTTGCATTGATAGTCTTTTTGTTCCACTGGTGTGATCAAATAACGGATAGATACCGAAATGAATGAGTACGGTAAGCAACATAACTGAGCAATTTAGTGCAGGGCGTGGTATTACCGGGAAGATAACTGGATCAGCTGTTCCTACATCTGAAAAAAAGATAAATCGATTGATTTGTAAGAATCAGTGACGGCTGTCACTGTTTCGGAGGCATTCCTTCAATCTTCATTTTCTCCAGCTCGTAAGACAATGCGTACTGCTAAATTAGATGATGTGGACGAGGCAGTTCTAAATGGTTCAAGATGGTTTAGGAACAGCAGAGTCAATATCTCTGAGTGTATGATCAGGGCCAAAGTAGAAGCGTTAGCCAAAATGTTAGGCAGGTCAGAATTAACTTGTACCACTGACTGGTTAGTTCGGTTTAAGACTAGATTCAATTATTATGCCATTATTGCCAATTATTGCTAATAGTGATCAATAATAAAAGTAATTTTGGTCTTCTTTTTTTTCTTGTTGTTTGTTTTTTGTCGCATGTGCGTTGTGTTATTCATTCTTTGTGTCAATCAGTTATTTTCGTTTGTGTAGAGCCTTGGATGGTACACTATGTTATCTTGGTAGTTATTTTATAATGGATCGTAGTGGCGCACTCTTACTAACCTATTAAATATGTCATACGCAAAATGTTTCTAATTCTTTGTTCAACTTTGATGACACATCAATTAGGATTGATCGATGCTTTCTTTACCGCGTTCGATAAACAAAGTACCTGTCATTAGCGACTCAAGGGTGGGCAACTCTATTATCGCGGTATCACTATTTTGTGGTGTGATACGTGTGGAGTATGTGGCTTACATCACATCCTGTTTTGGATTATGCATAATCAGTATGCATACGACCCAGGTTGGGTCAAGGACATCGTCCAAACAAATGGATTCTTTTCTAATCAATTTTGAATGGTGGTAGGCGTAATTCCACTTTAAAAACATTCCAGAAACTATCATTAAAACATTAATGTGTATACTTACGAGTAGCCGTGACATACCGCAACGAGTCCTGTATTCGATCAAGCGAGAGGGCATGGGTATCCCAGTTGCTGAAGGCGCCACGATTTGCTATGCAGAGTTGCGTCCCTTTGGCATGCCAGAAACCTATGATGATGGGTTCGAATCCCAGTTTAACCCAATTATAGTTCTTGGTTTGTCAGTTCAATACCCGTGCTCATGGGTTTCACCGAAGTGGTAAATGCCTGAGACATGCATCACTTCGGGCTTCCTACCACATTAAGCTGACACGCCGCGATATAACACGAATACTGTTAAAAGCGGCGTTAAACCCAACTCACTCACTTGATCAACCGATGAAATATCGTGCTTAGATTTGCTTAAGTAAAATGCCAAGGTGTGGATTATGAGATTTATTGATACCGCAATAATATAGAGCCCACGATAATATACACTCTTATTATACATGATACATATTTCCTCTTCCCCAGGTTCCTGTGATTCTCAGCATGGTTCCAGCTATTTTCCTGGTGCCGTTTCTCCGTGTCAACTCCCTGGAACCGAGGGGGTATGTATATGGTGAGGTGAGGTGAAATGGGGTTTAACGTCGTATCCAAGATTATTGCACTTATATAGCGACGTGCATGTACGTGTGTGTGTGTGGCTGCTTGTACTAGTCCGGACTGATGCCGATTTATAGTGCTAGCCCACTGAGATACCATGCCGCAGTTTAACATGAATACCCCACTCAGACACGGTATACTGACTCCGAACCGACCAGTCCTTGTTTTAGCCCCTTAATGCCGAGCGCCAGACAGGGTAACAACAAGTACCATTCTTTTAATGTCTTTTGGTATGACGCGGCCGGGGATCGAATCCCGGACCTTCTGCTCTCCGGGCGGACACTCTACCACTAGACCACGGAGGCGGTCGGTATGTATATGGAAGCAGATAATGGGTGGGAGTTGTTTCCTTGTTTGTTGTTAAAGCCACACTCAGCAATATTCCAGCTATATGGCAGCAGTCTTTAAACAATCAAATTTGGACAGACAATCAAGTGATTGACATCATGAGCATCAGTCTACGCAATTGGGATACGATGACATGCATCAACCAAATCAGCGAACCTGACCACGCCATCCCGTCAACTGCCTCTTATGACAAGCATGGGTTGCTGAAGATGGTGGGTTAACCCAAATACTGGGGAGGATGCAGCTCAAGCCTTAGGATCATGAATCATTTTGATGGTTTATGTTATTTCTGATTTTCATAACAACTTTGCATTTTGCATCCTTAGATGAGGGTCAAGAAAATATTATTTATAGGTACATCTTTATGCAATCAAACACCTCTGACAGCGATATACAACAATTTACATATGCTATACTTGGCATCCATCATCTTTAAGTAACTGACCAGTGCCCCATTATAACCATCGCCGGTCAATATTTTCTCAGGATGATCCCCGTAGTTTCCTTCTTTTATTTTATACTTCAGTGTGAAAGACTCAGTTTTCCGAAGCTGAGAAAAGTGATATTTTCATTGCAGTGAAGATAACACTTGATATTTCACTGCTGTGAAAATAACACTTTGACGGAACGATTGTCATACAAGAGTGACCTCCCCTCAAAATGTCTCCCTTTATCATGTGTCTGGCCTGTACACAGACTGTTGACTTCCTATTAACGTTAGATCCACATTGACAAGGCAAAATAATGACAGATAGTCATTTATGGAGTTAATATCGCTTCAGGCTGTTTGTTATTCTCTTGAAAATGTCTCACTGTAAATTTCTCACTTAACTCGTCAATCGTGACTGTTTGTTCTGCAAAGCATCATTTTTGTTACTTGACCAGCTTATATTCTTTCGATTCGAACATCTTCCAACAGTGGTTTGGTAGTTTTCAAGAATATTTATTTTTAAGGTGGAATTTGTATATAAGCATATCTATATGTATGATACAGAATTTTCGTGCCCCGAAATACTTGATATTTTTTAAAGATTTTGCAAACACGAAGCTACTTTTTTAGTTGCAAATACAAGGGGTGGTGAACCGTCCCTGTGGGTTAGGTAGGAAGAATTTACGTTTCAAGGTTTTAAAATAATTAAATTCCCGTTAGACAACTACACACAAAGTATAATAGATAGGATACTCATACGCTACTCATGAAAATATCTCCTTTCCCCCGTCACTCGATAACAGAAACATGATATTTCACGAGACACATCGAATATCCTCTATATGATGGCTGGAACTGGAACCTGTCTGCCTGGAGTGAAGACGACAGTATCAGGTTCAGCTGATGTATGTTCCAGGATTTCGGTTCCGGACAACAGACAAGGCAAGTGCTGTCAGGGCATCAGGGACTTCTACTCAGCCCCCGTGGTCAAGTACCAGATGAACGTGGTAGGTACATTAATCTGTCGTAGAGAGTTATATTGGAATGAATTAATGAAATAATGTCCAACGTATCTCCTGCATCCCATGTAGACCAGGTGTGTGTCTATCCTGTATATCCCTTCGTCCCAGGTATTTCTTGTTTTCCCGCTATCCCTTGTTTTCCCACTATCCCTTGTTTTCCCACTATCCCTTGTTTTCCCATTATCTCCTAATTTCCCACTATCCCTTATTTTCCCACTGTACCTTATTTTCCCACTGTACCTTGTTTTCCCATTATCTCTTATTTTCCCACTATCCCTTGTATTCCCACTATCCCTTGTTTTCCCATTATCCCTTATTTTCCCACTATCCCTTATTTTTCCACTGTACCTTGTTTTCCCACTGTACCTTATTTTCCCACTTTCCCTTGTTTTCCCACTGTACCTTGTTTTCCCACTATCCCTTGTATTCCCACTATCACTTGTTTTCCCACTATCCCTTGTATCCCAAATATCCAATGTGTGCCATATGTATATAGAATACTGCACTCATTCTCGTTAGATACCATTTTTACAAGAAATGTGTGTGGTATTTTGTTTATTACCGGTGTTAAATATGTAAATAAAGTTAAATATGGTGCAAATACATATATATGTTTTTAAAGAATTTCTTCAACTTATGGTTATTAAAGCACATTGTTGTTAGTACGCAGGACGACTGTAAGAAAACTTTAAATGTTAATTAGCGCTGTGTTCACTTTGACTGATCTGGTCGTGCAGTCGTGTATATTCATTCATGAACAAAAATCTTCAATGTCACAAAATACGCTTCGAAGGGGAAACTAAAGGCACAACGGGAGCATCTAACGTGAGTCACTGTCCAGACAGTTTAAACGGACTTCATTTCACCACACCTAACCTTTTACGTTAAACCAAATTGAGAGTTGCGAAAGTGGTAGGGTGCATCACGCTCATTGGGTCCCTCGATCTATCGGTAGTCGTATTGCAAATGGATATAGCTTGATTATATAATGTCTGTAGCAGCTCTACGCATAACTTATATCGAATGCAAAGCGAATTTGAGGCGTGTGACTATCTTGTTTGGTTTATTAAAGTGTTTGTAAATGTCTCTCGCTTTCATGAGATCCTTTAGTTCTGTCTTGTATTTGCGAAAGTGATTTATGTCTCGTGATTTTTTTATGAGTGCAAAAAGTAGTTCCAGTGTAACAGAGGTCATCCAATCAAAAGGAATAAAATTAGGTCAAACTTGTGCGACACACATGTGGCGTACAGAGTTAGTATCTCACCACCTGTATCTTCACTACATGGGTAATAAATCCCTGTATCTCATTCTCAGGAAACATGCCATTAAGTAAATTTTGTAAAGTTAGATTCCCATCCACAACATCTGGCTGACACTCTGTCATAACTCACTCACTCACTCACTCACTCACTTCAGGTGGCGTTCCTGATGCTCCTGCTTCTGTTCAGCTATGTGTTGCTGGTCGACCTGCGTCCAGAGTTCACTGTGTGTCAGGGTGTGCTGTGTGGCTGGGTGTTCCTCTACACAGTGGAGGAAGTTAGACAGGTACGTGTTGCTGGTCGACCTGCGTCCAGAGTTCACCGTGTGTCAGGGCGTGCTGTGTGGCTGGGTGTTCCTCTATGCTGTAGAGGAAGTAAGACAGGTATGTGTTGCTGGTCGACCTCCGTCCGGAGTTCACCGTGTGTCAGGGCGTCCTGTGTGGCTTGGTGTTCCTCTACACAGTGGAGGAAGTCAGACAGGTACGTGTTGCTGGTCGACCTCCGTCCGGAGTTCACCGTGTGTCAGGGCGTGCTGTGTGGCTTGGTGTTCCTCTATGCTGTGGAGGAAGTCAGACAGGTACGTGTTGCTGGTCGACCTCCGTCCGGAGTTCACCGTGTGTCAGGGCGTGCTGTGTGGCTTGGTGTTCCTCTATGCTGTGGAGGAAGTCAGACAGGTACGTACACGTTTTGCTGGTCGACCTGCGTCCGGAGTTCACCGTGTGTCATGGCGTCCTGTGTGGCTGGGTGTTCCTCTATGCTGTAGAGGAAGTCAGACAGGTATGTGTTGCTGGTCGATCTGGGTCCAGAGTTCACCATGTTTCAGGGCGTCCTGTGTGGCTGGGTGTTCCTCTACACAGTGGAGGAAGTTAGACAGGTACGTGTTGCTGGTCGACCTGCGTCCAGAGTTCACCGTGTGTCAGGGCGTGCTGTGTGGCTGGGTGTTCCTCTATGCTGTAGAGGAAGTAAGACAGGTATGTGTTGCTGGTCGACCTCCGTCCGGAGTTCACCGTGTGTCAGGGCGTGCTGTGTGGCTTGGTGTTCCTCTATGCTGTGGAGGAAGTCAGACAGGTACGTACACGTTTTGCTGGTCGACCTGCGTCCGGAGTTCACCGTGTGTCATGGCGTCCTGTGTGGCTGGGTGTTCCTCTATGCTGTAGAGGAAGTCAGACAGGTATGTGTTGCTGGTCGATCTGGGTCCAGAGTTCACCATGTTTCAGGGCGTCCTGTGTGGCTGGGTGTTCCTCTACACAGTGGAGGAAGTTAGACAGGTACGTGTTGCTGGTCGACCTGCGTCCAGAGTTCACCGTGTGTCAGGGCGTGCTGTGTGGCTGGGTGTTCCTCTATGCTGTAGAGGAAGTAAGACAGGTATGTGTTGCTGGTCGACCTCCGTCCGGAGTTCACCGTGTGTCAGGGCGTCCTGTGTGGCTTGGTGTTCCTCTACACAGTGGAGGAAGTCAGACAGGTACGTGTTGCTGGTCGACCTCCGTCCGGAGTTCACCGTGTGTCAGGGCGTGCTGTGTGGCTTGGTGTTCCTCTATGCTGTGGAGGAAGTCAGACAGGTACGTGTTGCTGGTCGACCTCCGTCCGGAGTTCACCGTGTGTCAGGGCGTGCTGTGTGGCTTGGTGTTCCTCTATGCTGTGGAGGAAGTCAGACAGGTACGTACACGTTTTGCTGGTCGACCTGCGTCCGGAGTTCACCGTGTGTCATGGCGTCCTGTGTGGCTGGGTGTTCCTCTATGCTGTAGAGGAAGTCAGACAGGTATGTGTTGCTGGTCGATCTGGGTCCAGAGTTCACCATGTTTCAGGGCGTCCTGTGTGGCTGGGTGTTCCTCTACACAGTGGAGGAAGTCAGACAGGTACGTGTTGCTGGTCGACCTCCGTCCGGAGTTCACCGTGTGTCAGGGCGTCCTGTGTGGCTTGGTGGTCCTCTACACTGTGGAGGAAGTCAGACAGGTATGTGTTGCTGGTCGACCTTGGCACAGAGTTCACCAAGTGTCAGGGCGTCCTGTGTGGCTGGGTGTTCCTCTACACTGTGGAGGAAGTCAGACAGGTACGTGTTGCTGGTCGACCTGCGTCCGGAGTTCACCGTGTGTCAGGGCGTGCTGTGTGCCTGGGTGTTCCTCTATGCTGTAGAGGAAGTCAGACAGGTATGTGTTGCTGGTCGATCTGGGTCCAGAGTTCACCATGTTTCAGGGCGTCCTGTGTGGCTGGGTGTTCCTCTACGCTGTGGAGGAAGTCAGACAGGTGCCTGTCAGCCAACATATTCAGGCCAACCATAGAAAATGCACATTTGGATCAAATTTGAGCTATATATCTGTAATAAATGACAATTTTAATACTTAAGTGGACTTTGTTTGTAGACTTTGCACATATATTCTATTATTTACAGTCAACAGAGATTGGTGGATGTGTTCCATTTTTTGAAAATTAGGTACTTTGGAAAGGATGAAGTTTTCTGACTGTGATGTTTCTCCACACATGCCTGTCCCATTTCAGATCCTGACTGGCAGGGAACAGGACCTCAAGGGTCGGTGGCATCTCTACTGGAAGGAGGGATGGAACCGCCTGGATGTCTGCACCATCCTCATCTTCATCCTGGGGATGGTGCTGGTGGTCATCCCATACCCCGACTCCCACCGAGGCGGGCGTATCATACTCAGCATAGACTTTGTCCTGTTCTGTATGCGGCTACTTCAGGCTTTTGCCGTTGGTGCTGACATCGGACCCATGTTCACAATGATACTCAAAATGGTAAGAAAATGTAAATTGGGTATAATGAAACAGTAACCACCTTCGATCTTCATTTGATGGACCATATATCTTTAAAAGGACTCTAAGGGACTCAAGGCCTCCAATAGCCACTAGGCCTGTAATAGACACTGGACTTGTAATAGACAGAGCCTCCAGTAGACACTGGTTCTGTAATAGACCCTGGACCTCCAATAGACACAAGTAGACAGGGCCTCCAGTAGACACTGGTTCTGTAATAGACGCTGGACCTCCAATAGACACGAGTAGACAGGGCCTCCAGTAGAAAGTGGTTCTGTAATAGACCCTGGACCTCCAATAGACACTAGTAGACAGGGCCTCCAGTAGACACTGGTTCTGTAATAGACGCTGGACCTCCAATAGACACAAGTAGACAGGGCCTCCAGTAGACACTGGTTCTGTAATAGACCCTGGACCTCCAATAGACACAAGTAGACAGGGCCTCCAGTAGACACTGGTTCTGTAATAGACGCTGGACCTCCAATAGACTTGAGTAGACAGGGCCTCCAGTAGAAAGTGGTTCTGTAATAGACCCTGGACCTCCAATAGACACAAGTAGACAGGGGCTCCAGTAGACACTGGTTCTGTAATAGACCCTGGACCTCAAATAGACACAAGTAGACTGGCCCTTGTATAGACATACACCTACAGACCCTACAATGACGCCAGTATTAATGTCATGCACTGTAATACTGGATACTGTCTCAGTGATCAAGTCAATCTGCCTTCAGATCAGGGACACGGTGACCTTCGTCATCATCCTCATGGTGTTCATCCTGTCCTATGCTGTGGCCTCTGAGGCCATCCTCTTCCCCCGGTCCCGGCCGGATATCCGCATGCTGTACTACGTGCCACGGAAGGCCTACTGGCAGATCTATGGGGATTTCTTTCTGGATGAAATAGAGGGATCGGACTCGGGTAAGTTTTCATGACATCCTGGAGGACAACGGTGGCCATCTTCCTGAGGCAAGGGATTTAACTGACTCTAAACGTCCAGTTTCCACCCTTCCCGAACGAGGCTGAAATTTCTGGGCTCGATCATAGCGCCACCAGTGGCTATTACGACTTATGTCCCTTTAATGCCCTTCCTATTGACCAATCAGATTCCACCTCTCATATCACTTGCATTTGCTTCAAAGAAAATGGTGGCACCCAGTCAAGACGATCTGATCGATGATCTAGATATATATTGTAATATAACAGGTCTTTCCTCGCGAAGTGTATCAATTAATGTGAGCACCTTGATTATAAACATGAAAAGATTTCGAAGTATCCTTCGACGCCTAGTTGATGGTACGCATCATTTAAATGGACTAACTCCATAACTGCAGTCTAGTTCGGCAAGGGTGGAAACTGGACTTTTACAGTCAGTTAACTCCCTTGCCTCGGTCAAGAAGATGAATGGTGGTATATTTCTTAAATTCTTCATCTTGAAAATTTGAATACTGTTAGTTCAACTGTGCTGTCTTCAAATAGTCATGTGGCCTCATCCTGTATGTTTGATGCAACACTGTTGCATATGTTCCCTTGCTCTCGAGAACATGTGCCATTGTCCAAGAGACTGGTATTTTGCTTGTGTGTTTCACACAAAGCAGTCTTAGTGCTACTACTATTGTAAGTATAGCACTTAGTATAGACTTACAGCTAAAGCCACTTTGTGCAGGAGGGACGGTAGTCTTTTAAGGTATGTCAGTTAAAATAGTCTTACTGCTAAAACTGCTTTGTGCAAGCAGGTCGATGTCCTTTGGTGCTTTTCGCCTTGACCTCAAGAACATGGGACATTGTTCATGAGACCAGGGCCCATTTGCAAAAAGCGATCTTACTGCTAAATCGATCGTAACTCTCATACTTTAACATAGGCTTACAATAATCTTAGCGCTAAGATGGCTTTGTGCAAGTGGGCCCTGTAAATAATTTGTATGTTCACTACATATTTGTCTTCAGCGTCCTGCACCAATGATGTGCGTCTGTACGGTAACCGTACCATGGACCGCTGCCCCAGTAAGGAGGGGCAGTACATCGTGCCGATACTACTGGGGGTCTACTCCATCATCACCAATGTCCTGCTGCTCAATCTCCTCATCGCAAAGTTCAAGTGAGTTGTGAGATGAATACCACCGCTTCCGTGGTCCTGCGTAGAGTGCCTGCCTCCGTGGTCTACTGGTAGAGTGCCTGCCTCCATGGTCTCGTTGTAGAGTGCCTGCCTCTGTGGTCTACTGGTAGAGTGCCTGCCTCCATGGTCTAGTGGTAGAGTGCCTGCCTCCGTGGTCTAGTGGTAGAGCGCCTGCCTCCATGGTCTCGTTGTAGAGTGCCTGCCTCTGTGGTCTACTGGTAGAGTGCCTGCCTCCATGGTCTAGTGGTAGAGTGCCTGCCTCCATGGTCTAGTGGTAGAGTGCCTGCCTCGGTGGTCTAGTGGTAGAGTGCCTGCCTCCATGGTCTAGTGGTAGAGTGCCTGTTTCCGTGGTTTAGTGGTAGAGTGCCTTTCTTCGTGGTCTAGTGGTAGAGTGCCTGCCTCCGTGGTCTAGTGGTAGAGTGCCTGCCTCCGTGGTCTAGTGGTAGAGTGCCTGCCTCCGTGGTCTATTGGTAGAGCGCCTGCCTCCGTGGTCTTGTGGTAGAGCGCCTGCCTCCATGGTCTAGTGGTAGAGTGCCTGCCTCCATGGTCTAGTGGTAGAGTGCCTGCCTCGGTGGTCTAGTGGTAGAGTGCCTGCATTTCAGCATTAGTCTGGACTAGTACAAGCAGACACACACACGCACATACACACACACACCTACATGCATGTAACTATGTAAGTGTAGTAACCTTGAACGGGACGTTAAACCCCGTTTCACATCACCACCTGATGAAAACATTGAGGCCTTGGCCAGAAGACTATCATATTGCAGTTTGCTGTGCAGAGTTGCATCCCTTACTGCTAGGATCTATTGTTTATGATTTATTTTTTTTAAGCCTGAATTGTCTTCAGTTAACATCTTTGGGTTGTCAACTAGGGGAGAAAGATACAGTAAGGTCACGATATGATATGTGTCGCAATACATATGACGATACGATACCCATCGCAATACCCATATTTGTGTCAAATCGCGTGGAAACTTTTGACTTTTAATAAATGTAGATCAGAGCAGGTTCAAAAGGAAAAGATAGCTGTAGACAGGTGTCTGCAGCTGTTTTTTGTATTAGTAAACTTGAAACTCTAATTACAACACATTTTGCAAAATTTGCCTGACAAACATGCTGAGGTGGGGGTCATTAACTAACAGTAAGTAAGTTGTTTTAGCAAGTGTATCATCTTGTATCGATACAGAAAAATTATGTTTTTTGCATCGTATTGTCGCATGAAAAGTCACAATGCACCGATGTATCGTTGCATCCCCATTGTCAACACAGTTCCATAAATCCGACATGCTTCAACTGCTCTATTCACAGCGACACATACGCCAATGTCCAAGGTGAGGCGAAGATCCACTGGGCGTGGTACAGGTACCAGATTATCTACGAGTACGCCCAGCGACCTTGTCTCCCTCCGCCCCTGAATGCAATAGAGTGTGTGCTGTTCCTCCTCCGACACCTGTTCAAGATGGTGAGGAGAGTTGTGTGCTGTTACTGCTGTCCACGGTGTAAGACAAGCACAGGCGGAATACTCACCCAGCCAGGTGAGTCATACCTTCATTTAGCTGTGACCCATGAAGATCCCCCCGTGAAGATTCCGGGGTAGAATAGGTCCGGGGTAGGTGGATCGATGCTCAAGATGCTCAAGATGTCACTCACTGGATTGTCTAGTCCAGACTCGATTATTTTCAGACCGTATCATACAGCTGGAATATTGCTGAGTCTGGTGTTAAACAACAAACAAACAAATAATTAAGCTGCTGTTTCTTTATTGTAGCTAACAAATCTATGAAAGTAAACTTAATTCCACATGCCCTATGGCTCAAAGTATGAATTAATATCCCCGGGCCATAGAAACCATGACGATAGGTTCACCAGGGAATCAATCTCATTAAAATCAGATCTTAGTTTTCGCTACCACTAACCAAAGATCTGAGGACATCCCATAATGGGTCATGTCGGAACGACCTTTCGCAAACACTGACCGACCAATGAAATGACTGACAAGAAATGGACATTTGCCAATCAGAAGGCAGCTATCTCGAGCTTTATGGCACTAGTTTCAAACTGGCGACTACGCTTCGAAACATATTTTGACGTATTCTCGATTAAAAACAATTAAAACTGACAAAAACAACATTCTGGAATGGCTTATAGATGGCCTCGATTGTATGGATATAATCATAAAACCCATAACTGTCGTTCGGAATACCCTCTGTTAAATATTTCGAGGATGCATGATTAGAAAACACATTTTGACTGTCACTTTCAGGATCTGGTAAGCGACGCTCTGATTGGTTGGATGAAAGGTCGTGCTGACGTGACCCGTAATGGGATGTCCTCAGATCTTTGTTTAGCGGTAGAGAGAACTAAGATCTGTTTTTAATGAGATTTCCAGGGAATCAGAACCACTATGAATAACATGAAAACAAACTTTGAGTTGGAAAAGTGGTTTCTTAAAAAGATAGTGGGTGCAAGGGCAGTTTAAGAGGCTGCCAGTTCATGAGACACAAGAAATTTGTATTAAAAAGCCTCTGTCATGAGATTATAATTATTTGCAAATTCAAATGATGTAAAAGTAAAAAATAAAAACTTCACTCTCCTGCTGTTAACTTGATGTCTTGGTCTGAAGGGTGGGCTCTACTTCAAGTAGTTTGTTTCAAATTTTCTTTGGCAAACATCAGGAAAAACATCAAATGGCAGAAACATTTAAGGTGTTTGGCATATGACCTTTGGAATATATGGTGTTTTCAACATTTTCTTATTAGAATGATGTCAATATGTTGATAATGTTGACAGGATTTGCAATGCCCAGACATGCAATGCATTTGATCAATTATTTAAAAAAATTAGTTTTTGTCAGATTGTTGTTGCTTTATCTGGGGTTTGTGGGGGGGCTCTTCAGGAAGCATTTTTATTTTCTGTTTTTAACTTTTGAGTCCAGTTGGCCAAATCTGTAAACCGAAATTTAAGAAAAGTGTGCGCAACTATTCACTGGTCTAATATTGGAATTGCAATTAAATACTGTGTTTTTTTTGGTGTTTGGTTGTTTTTACAGTACAAGCTGAAAAAATTGGTCCTACAAGTATTCAGATCCATTGGCGGCGCCATGAAGACAAAGTTGCTACTCGGTACAGGATACGGTGCTATAGAATAGTCGACACTGTACAAGGTATGAACTTCTTATGATGAGGGGCGGTCGGATAGCCTAGTGGTTAGAGCGTTCGCTCGTCACGCCGAAGACCCAGGTTCGATTCCCGACATGGGTACAATGTGTGAAGCCCATTTCTGGTGTCCCCCGCCTTGATATTGCTGGAATATTGCTAAAAGCGGCGTAAAACCATACTCACTCACTCTTATGATGATGATGATGAAGGACTCCACTCTACTCCTGAATGGCATTGATACCCTTGTCAGCGGATGTAAGAGACAACCAAGTTTGATGAGGTGGTCCAACTCGCTGACTTGTTTGTCTCTTACCCCAGTTGTGTAGATCGATGCTCCTGATGTCAATCACTTGATTGTATGGTCTACTCTATTATTTACAGCCCGCCCTCACATAGCTAGAATATTACTCTGTGCAACGTTAAACAAACAAGGATGTGTTATCATGGTATTGCACATACTTGATTAGCTGAGTTATTACATTGCCATTCTGTTTTGAGAAATACCCTGGACTGATTCACTTCAGTGGCTTCACTTTAAACTAAAAATAACTGACCAATCAAATTACACCCATGAGTTACAGCAATTCTGGTGCTACATTAGTAATAAGTGACATTGACATGGTGTCGTCTCTTTCGATTCAATCACTTCTGACACACGAGTGCAGAGTATTTTTAATAATCTACTCATCGCCAAAAGAAACACAATCTGTAGAAACATATCGAGAAGTATGTACGTTAAGAAGAGATGTTTCCAATGTATACCACTTAATAACAATACTAACAATCAGTCAAGTGTTACCACAGTGTCTTCATTCTTATCGCGATATGCTGCATGTGATTTTCAAACTTTACACGCTCTAATCCTGCACGAGACAAATGGTGCATCACGAGTCATGGATCTATGACGTCACATGTGATGCGTTCATGAGAGTCGGTTCCCACAACATACCAGTATGTTGGTTGGTGCATCGAACCAATCTGATATCTCGTCAATATGAGTAATTCTTCATATATTAACCAACATGTATAGTATTCACGTTTATCATATAATGGGTAGGTTTCTCGGATGGATAAAGCAAACGGATAAAAACGATATCCGTTGGGGTCACATGCTGATAGAGATGCAATTATCAAAGGTCAAGTAGGGACTTTCACTGTTTATAAACAAACATGGCGTCGCCTTTTCATTCGGCGATCGAGTCAGAATTAACCATCAGGAATCTGGATAAACTACAGGGATAATTGCTATCATTATCAAAAGAACAGTCTAATATACTGAAAATCAGTGTCTATCTGTGACGTAGCTAAGGCATTTTATAAGTTTTGGCAACTTTGGAGATATAAATTTCGAAACAATTTTGTGAGGGCACGAGGCCTAGCCAAGCGGGATCAGTAGCCATATCTGTGCTTGTAGACCTCTGCGGCTTGAAACCTTCTCCACAAATTAAAATAGTTGGATTTGGCTGAAGTATGTTTGAATTGTTACCTTGTTTCGTTTTGTCGCTGTGTGTACATCTGACTACACTTAACGTTATGACAGGACAGACCGACTGTCAACAACGTCTGACCGTGGCCGTGACGTCTCATAGACTAGGGTTAGAGTAGTTTCCCTTTGACAAATAGGGCAGTTATTCTAGCGGACAGACTGATGGATTGCCGCGAAAGGCAAGTAAAAACAATTGTTGTTTTGCGTATATGTTGCTTCGCCACTGTATAAGAAACCGATTTCAGTTGGAACTATATTAGCTACTGTCACTGTCCGACTGACACATCACTTACCCTGTGACGTAATAAATATTAATGCAGGCATTCCAGGAAAACTCGCAATGTTTCGGTAATGTTAGTGAGAGAGGGAAAGCAATTTTGAAGCACAGAATTAAAGAATGACATAAAATGATAAAGAGGTTATCACGCTTGTGTATTTGGGGATGGTAAATATCCTGTATTGGGAATAAACACTATGTACATATTCCTAATGCAGTATATATTCCTAATGCAGGATATTTACCATCCCCAAACACACTCACATGATAACCTCTATTTCTTTTGGTTGTGAGTATAGAAAGAAAATATGATACTCTGGATAATTGAAGATATGTTTCGTGTAGCTATTTCCCCAGATGGTACCGTTTCCCTGATCCCCAGGTATCCCGAACATCGACCAGCCTGACCTGGCGCTGACTCTATACTCGGATGTTTGCACTGTGAGGAACCTACAGCCACAAACCACCTACAGGTTCAAGGTCAGCTACAGGACGACATCTGCGTGGATTGACTGGGCGAAGGCTGACTTCAGAACAGAGCCTAAAGGTGAGATCTGGGGTAGGAATCAACCTGGGTTTCGTTGCACAAAGCCATCGTAGCGCTGCGGTAAGTCTATGTTAGTGTATGGAGTTACGATCGTCTTGCACAACGATCATTTTGTGGAACAAGGCCCAGGTCCCCCGTCCTCAAAGCGATCTTTGCGCTATGATGATCGTAAGTCTATGTCAAAGTGTGGGACTTATGATCACTTTAGTGCTAAGATCGCTTTGAGGAACGGCGCCCTGGACCTTTTGAGCTTTAACATAAATATTTTTTGCGTTTATTGAGTCAAATCAAGTCAAATCGGTGTGGGCATAGCGAGATATAAGAATATGTAGTTTTTGTGTTTGAGATTGTTGGTATATTGGCTGACTTGACTGAGTGTAATACACAGCTTATCAAGTTGGATTATAATGGTAAAACATTTTTAAGGAGCAATGTTTGTATTGATTGATGTATTTGAACAACTATTTATTATAGAGAGTAAATGAAGATACCTAACCTTTGCCCTCTTTCTACTATTTTCGAGCATCTTATCATCCAAAGCATGGTTTAAAGCAACACCTGTATTCTTGATTTATTAAGTACTCTATTTTAACCTGCACCTCTCTAATCCATAACCCTGTCTAATCAGTCATTTTTGTACTCCCCCAAAAATCATTGAACGAGCATCTCCATATCTGTATAATCCAGCACATTGTCTTAACCAGCATCTGTATAATCCAACATATTGCCTTAACCAGCATCTGTATAATCCAGCACATTGTCTTAACCAGCATCTGTATAATCCAACATATTGTCTTAACCAGCACCTGTATAATCCAGCATATTTTCTTAACCAGCACCTGTATAATCCAGCACATTGTCTTAACCAGCACCTGTATAATCCTGCACATTGTCTTAACCAGCATCTGTATAATCCAGCACATTGTCTTAACCAGCATCTGTATGATCCAACATATTGTCTTAACCAGCACCTGTATAATCCAGCAAATTGTCTTAACCAGCACCTGTATTATCCAGCACATTGTCTTAACCAGCATCTGAAAATCCAACACATTGTCTTAACCGGCATCTGTATTATCCAGCACATTGTCTTAACTAACATCGTCTCTGAAGCACTCCCTTTAAACTAGCATCATGAATTGACACTACTCTTTCAAGTCCATTGTCTCACAATATGAAACATTTTTCCTCCTTCATCATGTGACATAACTGAAATTCATTCATAGGGCTGTTAAACCTCATGTGAGTGTCTGTTGTATTCATGCAGAGAGTGACATGGCAAGTTGCCATGAGAAGGACTGCGTTGAGCAGCTGGAGGGTCGGCAGCTGAAGGACGACGTGACAACACAGTGAGTACACCTCTCGAGGCCTTCATCTGGATAGTTGGTGAAAAAGCTTGGGTATGATGTTATGTGGAATTAATTATCTCCCACCACAAAGTGGAAGGGGGATATAGGAATGGGCGCTGTCTGTCTGTCTGTCATGTTTCGTTTCCGGAGATGAACTCAAAAACCATGAGAGTTATCTTAACCAAACTTGGCACATAGATAGGCCTAGTGCTGAACTGGTGCCTTTTGATAGTTTGGGATTTTAAAAAAAATAATTAATTTTCTAGTTTCCATTTGACTTTGACTTTGACTGAAAATGGAGGTAGTGCTCCTTTCCGTAGCTGATCTTAAAAACCTTAAATATTTCTTCAATAAATTTGGCTAATAGATAGGTCTAGTGGTAAACTGGTGCCTTTTGATAGTTTGGTGTTTTTTTTTTATTTGGTTTTTTTGTGTTTCAAAAGCTATGACTTTGCATTGACTGGATCTTGAAAACCGTACAATATTTCTTGCCTGGTACTCAACTGGACATGTCATATTGGTGGGGGAAATGAGTATTTCATGCTTGTCTTAGTGGTGATAGAACTGTTGTAAATATAGCTGTAGTAGTTGGCTGTGGCAGCATTTGATTTAGCGACGAGTGAAAAATATGAAGTGCTGTCATGGCTGAGTACGAACAGCGGTCAACAACAGCGAGTGGTGCTTTCCAGCATGTCATTGTGATGGAATTACGAGTTGTTTGCCCTTGTTTCGTACTTTCCGCACTGTTCTGGTCATGTTTTTGTAAGTTATGCTCTGTTCTGGATGTTTCTGTGAGTTATGCTCTGTTCTGGAAGTTTCTGTAAGTTATGCTCTGTTCTGGATGTTTCTGTGAATTATGCTCTGTTCTGGATGTTTCTGTGAATTATGCTCTGTTCTGGATGTTTCTGTGAATTATGCTCTGTGCTGGATGTTTTTGTGAACTATGCTCTGTTCTGGATGTTTCTGTAAAGTATGCTCTGTTCTGGATGTTTTTGTGAACTATGCTCTGTTCTGGATGTTTCTGTGAACTATGCTTTGTTCTGGAAGTTTCTGTAAGTTATGCTCTGTTCTGGACGTTTCTGTGAATTATGCTCTGTTCTGGATGTTTCTGTAAAGTATGCTCTGTTCTGGATGTTTCTGTGAATTATGCTCTGTTCTGGATGTTTCTGTGAATTATGCTTTGTTCTGGAAGTTTCTGGAAGTTAGGCTCTGTTCTGGATGTTTCTGTGAATTATGCTCTGTTCTGGATGTTTCTGTGAATTATGCTCTGTTCTGGATGTTTCTGTGAATTATGCTTTGTTCTGGATGCTTCTGTGAATTATGCTCTGTTCTGGATGTTTCTGTGAGTTATGCTCTGTTCTGGAAGTTTCTGGAAGGTATGCTCTGTTCTTGATGTTTCTGTGAATTATGCTCTGTTGTGGATGTTTCTGTTAGTTATGCTCTGTTGTGGATGTTTCTGTGAATTATGCTCTGTTCGGATGTTTCTGTGAATTATGCTCTGTTCTGGATGTTTCTGTGAATTATGCTCTGTTCTGGATGTTTCTGTAAAGTATGCTCTGTTCTGAATGTTTCTGTGAATTATGCTCTGTTCCGGATGTTTCTGTGAGATATGCTTTGTTCTTGATGTTTCTGTAAAGTATGGTATGTTCTGGATGTTTCTGTAAAGTATGGTATGTTCTGGATGTTTCTGTAAAGTATGCTCTGTTCTGGATGTTTCTGTGAATTATGCTCTGTTATGGATGTTTCTGTGAATTATACTCTGTTCTGGATGTTTCTGTGAGTAATGCTCTGTTCTGGATGTTTCTGTAAAGTATGGCATGTTCTGGATGTTTCTGTAAAGTATGCTCTGTTATGGATGTTTCTGTGAATTATACTCTGTTCTGGATGTTTCTGTAAAGTATGGTATGTTCTGGATGTTTCTGTAAAGTATGGCATGTTCTGGATGTTTCTGTGAATTATGCTCTGTTCTGGATGTTTCTGTGAATTATACTCTGTTCTGGATGTTTCTGTGAGTAATGCTTTGTTCTGGATGTTTCTGTAAAGAATGCTCTGTTCTGGATTGTTCTTTGAATTATGCTCTGTTCTGGATGTTTCTGTGAGTTATGCTCTGTTCTGGATGTTTCTATAAAGTATTGTATGTTCTGGATGTTTCTGTAAAGAATGCTCTGTTCTGGATTGTTCTTTGAATTATGCTCTGTTCTGGATGTTTCTGTGAGTTATGCTCTGTTCTGGATGTTTCTGTAAAGTATGGCATGTTCTGGATGTTTCTGTGATTTATGCTCTGTTCTGGATCCAGAACAGAGCATAGTTTACAGAAACATCCAGAACAGAGCATAACTCACAGAAACATCCAGAACAGAGCATACTTTACAGAAACATCCAGAACAGAGCATAACTGTTCATAAATGCTCTGTTCTGGATGTTCCTGTGAGTTATGCTCTGTTCTGGATGTTTCTGTGAGTTATGCTCTGTTCTGGATGTTTCTGTGAATTATGCTCTGTTCTTGATGTTTCTGTAAAGTATGCTCTGTTCAGGATGTTTCTGTGAGTTATGCTTTGTTCTTGGTGTTTCTGTAAAATATGGTATGTTCTGGATGTTTCTGTAAAGAATGCTCTGTTCTGGATGTTTCTGTGAGTTATGCTCTGTTCTGGATGTTTCTGTAAAGAATGCTCTGTTCTGGCATTTTTTTGTAAGTTATGCTTTGTTCTGCATGTTTCTGTAAAGTATGGTATGTTCTGGATGTTTCTGTAAAGAATGCTCTGTTCTCGATGTTTCTGTAAAGTATTTTATGTTCTGGATGTTTCTGTAAGTTATGCTTTGTTCTGGATGTTTCTGTGAGTTATGCTCTGTTCTGGATATTTCTGTGAGTTATGCTCTGTTCTGGAAGTTTCTATAAGTTGTGCTCTGTTCTGGATGTTTCTGTAAGTTATGCTTTGTTCTGGATGTTTCTGTAAAGAATGCTCTGTTCTGGATGTTTCTGTAAAGAATGCTCTGTTATGGATGTTTCTGTAAAGTATGGTATGTTCTGGATGTTTCTGTAAGTTATGCTTTGTTCTGGATGTTTCTGTAAAGTATGGTATGTTCTGGATGTTTCTGTAAAGAATGCTCTGTTCTGGATGTTTCTGTAAAGAATGCTCTGTTCTGGATGTTTCTGTAAATTATGCTCTGTTCTGGATGTTTCTGTAAGTTATGCTCTGTTCTGGATGTTTCCGTAAACTATGGTATGTTCTGGATGTTTCTGTAAAGAATGCTCTGTTCTGGATGTTTCTGTAAATTATGCTCTGTACTGGATGTTTCGGTGAATTACGCTCTGTTCTGGATGTTTCTGTGAGTTATGCTCTGTACTGGATGTTTCGGTGAATTACGCTCTGTTCTGGATGTTTCTGTGAGTTATGCTCTGTTCTGGATGTTTCTGTGAGTTATGCTCTGTTCTGGATGTTTCTGTGAATTATGCTCCGTTCTGGATGTTTCTGTAGGTTATGCTCTGTTCTGGATGTTTCTGTTAAGTATGCTCTGTTCTGTTCTAGACTTGAAGATATATCTAAGTCAGTGAATACCAACAAGCAACAGGTCTCCCAGTCTCTACAACAGGTCACAGGTCACATAACTCAGTAAGTAGAGCAACATGGGATTTTTTAAAGGTGAAGGTCAGTCACATGGTTATACAAACTAAAAGTTGGCTTTTTCATCTTTTTGATACTATAATAAAGCATTATAATATAACAAATGCTTATCCCAACATTACACACAGAGTCACATCCACACTATTAAGAAATTGGAGTTAGTTTCTTGGTTTTTTTCCCCAGGCTGAAAGACAAGGTGAAGGAACTGCACGAATCTACCACATGTATAATGACAGCTGAGACTGAGAATATTGCCCAGCTAGCCAGGCACCAAGGAGACTCCAAAGTCACCATGGAAACAGAGATGGCCAGCTTGAAGCAGTCAGAGGCGGCCATGTTGGCAGAGATCAGGTCACTGAAGACAGAACTGTCAGAGATGAAAGAGAGGTCAGCAATGAGGTCGGAGGACCTGCACGCCCTGATGACCCAGCAGACCTCAATGATGCAGCAGGTCCTGCAGGCAGTGGGCAGTTCAAGGCAGCCTGTGACATGAAGACTTGTTAGTTTTTCAGAACCCTCAGAAATGAGGCATTGTAAATTCTGTGAAATTAACATGATGAAGATGAATTTGTTATTTGAGAATAGGATGTCTTGAAGATCTGCTGTAATGAATAGATTGTTTTGATCATTTTGAAGGTCACGATTATATCCAGAACAATTATTGAATCTATGTACAGTGAAACCTCATTAGTCCAGACTCTGTGAGAAGCATCACTTAGGTCAATATATACCCGAAGCAATATTGCTCCAAACCATGATGTTTTAATCTGGATTTCACTGGGTCTTTGGGGAGTTGGGCCAGCCTTGTGGTTAAAGCGGTTGCTCGTCACCCCGAAGACCCGGGTTCAATTCCTGACATGTGTACAATGTGTGAAGCCCATTTCTGGTGTCCCCCACGTGATATTGCTGGAATATTGCTTAAAGCGGCGTAAAATCATGCTCACTCACTGGGTCTGGATTATCAGGGTTCCACATTAGAGGGGTTCTATATATGTATGTATTATACTAATTTTTATGTTTTCAAGACGTTATTTTTAATCAAAATTAGTACACATATGATGTATATAGTTGTATATATCACATTGTGTTTTTCATCACAAGGTGGGTACTGGACCTTCAAACTCAATCTGGCAGTCATGTTTTTCATGTCTCCAATACAAAAGATGTTACAACTGTTAGTTTTACACATCTAACACCAACTCAGGAGCCTATCGGCTTGGTCCTGTTTCAGGAAATAATGATGTATTCCAAGTTTCTAACATGTAGCCATCTTCTTAAAATCACATTCCCTTATTATTCTGTTTCATGCCAGACTATTTTCTTTCCTGGATGAACACACCCTAATTAAAGTATTAGTTACGAGATATATGAAAAAAGCATAAATTACATTGTGTTTGATAGAAAATATGTTTTATTTACATCAATCTCATTAAAATCAGATCTTAGTTCTCGCTACCGCTAAACAAAGTTCTGAGGTCATCCCATTATGGGTCACGTCAGAACAACCTTTCATCCAACCAATCAGAGCGTAGCTTAACAGATCGTGAAAGTGACAGTCAGAATGTGTTTTCTAATCATGCAACCACACTATATTTAACACGGGGTATTCCGAACGACAGTTACGGGTTTTATGATTATATCCCTACAATCTAGGCCATCTATAAGCCACTCCAGAATGTTCTTCTTATCAGTTTTAATTTTTTTAATCGAGAATACGCCAAAATATGTTTCGAAGCGTAGTCGCCAGTTTGAAACAAGTGTCGTAAAGCTCGAGAAAGCTGCCTTTTGATTGGCTAATGTCGATTTCTTGTCAGTCATTTCATTGGTCGGTTAAAATTCACGAAAGGTCGATCTGAAGTGACCCTTAATGGGATGTCCTCAGATCTTTGTTTAGCGGTAGCAAAAACTAAGATCTGATTTTAATGAGATTGTATTTACATATCTTTGTTATATTAAGACTTTTGTATTCCAAGAGTACTTTTGGTCACTCCTGATAATGTTATTGGTGCCTGTTGGTCTACCTCCTCCAGATCTCGACATTGCACAAGAATATGAATAACTCTGGCCTTACCGGTCTATACCGAATATCAACAGATTGTCAGGGAAATATATGCTGTTGACTCAATATCAAGACACATTTATTACTCACTGGATTTGTACAAAATGCCAGTTATTGTTGAAATATGCCTTATCTTCCCTGGTAGCATTGTGTGTAGATATTTTGTCATAATATGGAATGGACATGTATTTCCTTATATTTTGATTTGAATATTTTCTTGAAGTATGTTTTACTTCCAGACAGGAGTATACCTGTTTCATAATATTTACCCTGTTCAATGGCAACTACCTGGTAATGATTTATGTTCCATAATATACTGATGAAAATAATTAAAGGAACAGGTATGAAGGTAGGGACTTGTTTGACAGACACGCTGTATGTGCTGTGAACGGATAGGAAGAGAGGTGTTTGTTTGACAGACACACAGTATGTGCAGTGAACGGATATGAAGAGAGGTGTTTGTTTGACAGACACAGTGTATGTGGTGCAAACGGATATGAAGAGAGGTGTTTGTTTGACAGACATGCAGTATGTGCTGTGAACGGATATGTAGGGAGGAACTTCTTTGACAGACACGCTGTATGTGCTGTGAACATATATGAAGAGAGGTGTTTGTTTGACAGACATGCTGTATGTGCTGTGAATACGAACAATTTCTGTTGGCAGTGTATTGACATACCAGATATTTCACATATTTTGTTTGATTGAAGCATCGCTATTGAATGCAACATTTTCACCTTCTGTATATTGGTGATATTTACCAAGGCATCTTATTGTTTTTGGCACAGTTCCCGTCGGCGTCGGCGTTGGCGTCGGTGTTCCCACCGTTTCCGGACCATAACTCAGAAACCGTTTAATATTTCTTCGCGAAACTTTGTATACACATTAACCCAGCACTGGAGTGGTGCCTTTTGCTATTTAGAGATTTTTGACATTTTTATTTTTTCTCGTTTCCATGGAGATAAGTTGAACATAGACTCTGAATGGGGGTAAGCTTGGTTTCCTGACCATAACTCGGAAACCGTTTAATATTTCTTCGCGAAACTTTGTATACACATTAACCCAGCACTGAAGTGGTGCCTTTTGCTATTTAGAGATTTTTGACATTTTCATTTTTTCTCGTTTCCATGGAGATAACTTGAACATAGACTCTGAATGGGGGTAAGCTTGGTTTCCTGACCATAACTCGGAAACCGTTTAATATTTTTTCGCGAAACTTTGTATACACATTAACCCAGCACTAAAGTGGTGCCTTTTGCTATTTAGAGATATTTTACATTTTTATTTTTTCTCGTTTCCATGGAGATAACTTGAACATAGACTCTGAATGGGGGTAAGCTTGGTTTCCTGACCATAACTCGGAAACCGTTTAATATTTTTTCGCGAAACTTTGTATACACATTAACCCAGCACTGAAGTGGTGCCTTTTGCTATTTAGAGATTTTTGACATTTTTATTTTTTCTCGTTTCCATGGAGATAACTTGAACATAGACTCTAAATGGGGGTAAGCTTGGTTTCCGGACCATAACTCGGAAACCGTTTAATATTTTTTCGCGAAACTTTGTATACACATTAACCCAGCACTGAAGTGGTGCCTTTTGCTATTTAGAGATTTTTGACATTTTTATTTTTTCTCGTTTCCATGGAGATAACTTGAACATAGACTCTGAATGGGGGTAAGCTTGGGTTCCTGACCATAACTCGGAAACCGTTTAATATTTTTTCGCGAAACTTTGTATATACATTAACCCAGCACTGAAGTGGTGCCCATTAGTTGTTTGAAATTTCTAGGAGTTCTATTTTTGTCTCTGTTATTTAGTAATGGAGGGGGGGAATGAAGAGATGGGGTTTAACGTGAAGTAAACGAATGAATGGGGTTTAGGGGAGTGGGGGGAGACATATGTTTTTACGAGTAAAAACACTTTCTATTTTCCTCTGTAGATGTAAATAAAGCTGACTTAACTGGGGACAATTGGTCACAAAGGAGGCTGAAAAGTTGAAACATACAAACACCATCTCTAAGCTCCACTCCACTCCACTTGTAATTCCTTGCATTGCTAACATCATCTTTCAGAAACCACCTGACCCATGAAACTGAAATTTCTTGTACTTGTTCCAACTAATGATGATTTCAAGAGGTTTTAATCTATTTTTCAGTAAGGCTATGCATACGTTTCATTATCCTTGCCGTTCTCATACAAACTGGTATTATTAAAAAACTGCAATATTTTAGAAAGTATAGAAGTTTGACAGTTTTTTAATGTAGACTTTTGTGTTCAGTTTTACAAACATGTTATGATTGGTACACACACAAGCTCAACATCATATAGCTCATTGATCCTATTTTTACTTGTTTATCTTTAAACATTTACACTGATTTGTATACATGTACTGTTTCAAAGAATAAAATGGCTGGCATGTGCAAACATTAGTTTTCATGTGATTTTTTTCCATAATGAAGAATATCTGCTCATTTTCTCAGGACTATATGGAGGACACATATCTTGTTGTCATCTGTCTTTGTGAAATCACAAGCTGGGACAGAAGTGCCTTTACTTCTGTTGGCGGCATATTCCATCTTGCATTCTCCTCAAAAGTATCCTCCCGTTTCTGTACATCTTCACTCCTTCCCGGCCACTGCTGCTTGTCTTGATACACTCCAGCATCCAAGTTATCCCTGTGTGACTGGCAGTTGTCGTAAGTTTATTGTAATGATTGTCAGTGGCGGCAAATGATTGAAGTGCTACTAAAATGTTAAACGCTGTCACCAGTAGCAAATGATTAGAATTTAGAGTTACCTCCCCTGCTTGTGAACAAACATGACAGACTTGATCATTTGAAAAGTTTTTTGTTTTGTTTCTTTGTTGTTCAATGGTGCACTCAGCAATATTCCAACTATATGACATTGGACCAGACAATCCAGTGATTGACATCATGAGCATCGATCCACGCAACTGGGATACGATGACATGCATCAACCAAGTCAGCGAGCCTGACCACCCGATCCCGTTAGTTGCTTCTTACGACAGGCATAGTCGCCTCCGTGGTCTAGTGGTAGAGTGTCCGCCCAGAGAGCGGAAGGCCCGCGTCATACCAAAAGACGTTAAAAGATGGTACTTGTTATTACCCTGTCTGTCGTTCGGCATCAAGGGGCTAAAACAAGGACTGGTCGGCTCGGAGTCAGTATACTAGCTGTATTATTTGTCTGAGTAGTGTATTCATGTTAAACTGCGGCATGGTATCTCAGTGTGCTAGCACTATAAACTAGTACAATAAACCACACACACACGTACGTGCACATCGCTATATAAGTGCAATAATCTTGGACCCGAAGTTAAACCCAATTTCATCTCACCTCACTTTTACCTGCGGTGACAAACACAAGTTGCTATAGATATTTAGGGATATGGCTCAACGAACGCCTTAATATGAAGACGTCAGTGAGAGAACTGTGTAGATCGGCTAGTAGAGTCCCATCAGCGTTATACATCAAGTACTGTCGCACTGGAGGCATGTCGCATGATGTCAGTACCAAGTTGTATAGATCTCTTGTCAGCTTCTCGAGGCAAGGGAGATAACTGATTGTAAAAGTCCAGTTTCCACTTTTATAGTCAGTTAACTCCCTTGCCTCGGGAAGATTATCTCTCGTGGATTTTCCTAAACTTTTAGAACAATGCAATGCAACTTGACTGACGGTGATATGTGGACTCGGGAATTATTGAATGATTGTGACAAACCTAACGGTAATAGTGAGTGAGTTTGGTTTTACGCCGCTTTAAGCAATATTCCAGCAATATCACGGCGGGGGACACCAGAAATGGGCTTCACACATTGTACCTATGTCGGGATTCGAACCCGGGTCTTCGGCGTGACGAGCGAACGCTTAAACCACTAGGCTACCCGACCGCCCCCTTAACGGTAATAAGCTACGTACATATAGATTATAAAACCGTGAAAATACGTGAAAATCCGGGGGAGAATAGGTCTTCAGCAACCCATGCTTGCCGTAAAAGGCGACTATGCTTGTCATAAGAGGCGACTAACGGGATCAGGTGGTCAGGCTCGCAGACATGGCTGATGCATTGTCTGGTCCAGACTCGATTATTTACAGAGCGCCGTCATATAGCTGGAATATTGCTGAGTGCGGCGTTAAACAACAAACAAACAAAAGTTGCCGCTGTAGTTGCCTTTTATGGGTTGCTGAAGACCTATTCTACCCCAGATCTTCACGGGTCACAGCGGCAAATGTGAGTGTGAGGACATTAAGTTGTATTTAAGGTTCCAATTAACGTTTATGTACAAGTCCACGCAGTATTAAATCCTGGTTTTAGAAAATCCACAGACCTAAATGTTATTTTGGTCCAAGTAAATCCAGGATCGCTACAATACTGAATTCTGATCTACTTGTCGGCGCAAGGCCTTACATCGTATATGTTGAGTTGTGCATGACACATTAGACCC